TCCCACTGCATGATTTTCCATTTTATTTGTTTATAATTAACGTGTGTTGTTCAACTTCTGATTGCTTAAAAACTAAAGGTTTGTCCACATACGTATATTTCAATCATGACATCAAAAGACAAAGGGGGAACATGAAGATCGATTTCAATCAGGGCGACTGACACGAAATCAACAACATAAGGTACGGGTCATACAAGAACGAAAAACTTTAAAATTCACGTTATTTTTCTTTGCTTACATTTATAGAATCTCCAACAGAAGAATAGAGGAAAAGGCCGTTATTTCTAGATATAGGACCGTCGTTTCCGCGTTGTGATATTTGCCAACAGAAGGAGAAAAAAACGCATAATAAAATACACAGGAAGACATCCATTATACAAGTGGTGGCTTTTTTATTGAGGACATTATAATGGTGATGTGATGCCTGCTTCAACGAAAATCTAGTATTCATTTGGTAGGAAACTGTTCTATTCAAATAATCAGGATTAGAATAAAGTGGGGGAAATTAACTTTAAACATATTTTTCGTTCAAGATGGATTTTAAGTTTGCGGTGGTTATACATGTTATACTTGCATGTTTTAACGTTGGAGTATTCGGACAAATGCTGATTAGAGGCATGCCGACTGTGAACAACCTACCAGTATCTCAAAACAGGGGAACACTGCCCCCTACCGGTGGTTCTTCCGTAAATGGAGTTCCCGTACCCCCAGGTGGTGTAATACCTCCGCCAAGCAACTCATTTACAGCAGCCCCAAGTCAGTCTCCCACTCAACCACCACCATGGCTCTCAGCTCAAAATGGCGGAAATATTCCCGCCATGCCTACAGCGCCACCTAGATCTACTCCAACTATTACGTTTGTTTCTGTGTCTGGATCTTTTCCTTCTGTTTCAATTCCAGACAATGGATTTGATGATCATTACGTCACAATCAAATCGATGTTCGATACCTATTACCCTAATGTGCCCCCTCTTCGGAGGGCCGAGAATCGACCGACTCTACAAATTTTTCAAGGGAATACTGGAGTAGCGGGAACGGCGGTCGTGTCCGACGATCCGTCAACTATATACGTGCAATACGCTCTGCCGCAACAAAACGCATTGGCGTATTTACCCTTCACGAGTGACAATTCCAGGAGACTTTCATACCCAGAAAAGCCAATATATTTGCCATACCCTCAGTTAGCTGTGCGTATTCCCACCACGGGGGAAATTTTCCCGGTCTATATACCGTTCCAACCCAACGAAAATCGACGGAAAGGAGAGGAACCGGAAATGTTCATACCATCCATTGTCCCCGGAAGTAATCTACCACTGTACGAGGCAGCAGTACCAGCCCTTCCGGTTTGTACATTTTGAGTACCCATATCCCACTCCACCCATCACCAACCCCCTCGCCAATATTACAGTTGTATACAAAAAATTATATGATTTTGAGCGATTTAAAACTGCATTATGCCATATAATTGAATTTTGCTTAGAAGTATACTAGTTTTAGGACATATCGCTTTTTAAAATCAGAGTTGTGGTCAAGGAAAACTAGTATCAAATTTATCTTAATTACTGGTTTATGATCACTATGAGTAAAATTAATTAGACATAAGCGTGTGAAATAACTTCTTGCATTGTACTATATTTCCAAGATTTATAAATTAATATAGGGCACTGGCAATTACTGTCGCACAATGTATGTACAACATGACCATATTCTGGTATGACCGATTCAAAAAAAAATTAACTGTCTTTCCATCAATGAATACAAGTAACGGTGGTCATGTCTTTTATGTCAGAAGCGCATGACCATGTTATAAAACAATTATTTGTGTTATGGCTTTATGTACAACACCTGTCCTCTGTTAATATGCAATAAATATATATATAGGTTTTTCTGGCTTATATGGCATGACACCATGTTAAGGTCAAGATCTGAGAAAATACCTGTAATTACCTGTTATTACTATTTTTGGATCATGATTTATGTTTGATTTTTAGAAACACTATCTCTTCAAAAATGGTAATTGAAAGAATTTTTTTTTTTTTTTTTTTTTTGCGAAAAGCGGGGGTGGGTGGATGGGGAGGACTGGAGCTTTTATAATATTTTGTATGGAAATAAAAAATGAAATGTTAATGTTTACTTAATGAATAATATTGATTTCTAGTAAATGTTGATTTCTAGTAATGGATAATGTTCATTAATAGTAAATAATATATAAAGGCTAAGTCTCCTTGGAAACTTTTGACACATGTATGAGTATTGAATTTTGATCCAAGTTTTCTTTCTGATAAAATATTTTTTTTTGCTATACTGCAGACCAGTGTCTCAACAAATGCTCAGCTTCGAAGTGAAACTAACAATGGAAACTTATCCACGCAGCAACCTAATTCCGGTACGAGCTCCCAGCAACAAACAACAAACCCTCAAGCAACCTCGGATGTAAAGGTTGCAGAGCAACAAAAAGTTCCCCCTCAGAAACCTGGCCCAGAATCTAGTAACCTAGTGATGTCTTTAGACGGTAAAGCATTCGAATGAAAGAGACTATTTTACACTGATAATTTTTAGTATTGGAAAAGATAAAAAAAAACAACTACAAATTGCAATTAAACAATGGTTGCATTATATATTGAGAGGTAAATCTTAAGAAGATTCAATCACATAAAGGGCTAAAGTCGCAGCTATATATATATAGAGTTGATTTAAAAACCTAAAAATTGGAGGCAAAATATACCAAAATACCCGGTAGCAAATGTACTTATATTTGTAGACTGACTTTCCCAACTGGCGTACAAATCAATTTATTCTCTCAAAACCACGTAAAGGGTATACTAGTATGAGGTACGGAAACATATAAAACATATACACATATAAGTATACAGATACTCATCGTCGCAAACCACGGCCAAAATGTACGATCCTCTCCCATTCTAGGAGATAGCTATATGCGGACTCCGGACCGTGGCTTGAGAGGATGACAGATACTCAAGTGGTCGATTTCAGTTTCCTTCTTTTCTCCCATAATGAGAAAGGGAGAGGGGGATTGTCCACTACCAAAGTATTAACTTGTAATTTATATGTGACAACAAAAAAGTTAAGTTATGCACTTTTATGTTAATACTGTCTTAATTTTGCATTTCAGGACGATCTCCGAAATGGACCGACCTACGTAGTAAGTTTAAGTATAAACAATTGGTAGAGAGAAAACCTGAGGGAAGAATTTATCCTGTTTTCTATTTAAAAGCCGACCGTTTGCTTCAAAGAAATGTGCATTTTATAGCTTTATCAAAAGGCACTCATTTGCGTAAAAAAAATTAACAATTGAATAATAAACAAAATATTTTGAGGGGATATGCTTATTTTCAACATTAATTGCATTGGCCTATAATATGTTGAACTTTGGTCCATAAAGCCACAAAAGGCCATGCAGCTTTAGAATAACTCAGGATCATAAATTTGAGTATGTAGGTAGGTTAGAAATTTTTATTCAGAAAATTTCAATTTCAATGATATTTGAAGATGGGGGAACAAGGCGGGCAGAATGCCTATAGCGTCGGATATTAAGAAATCATATTCAGTATGTGAATTGGGTATATAAATTAACTCCTCATTATTAAAATTTATGAAATTATGAGAAAAACAACCTTTTCTGAGAGAATATAAAATCTCGTAAAAACATTTCTTTTATAAAAATATTCGTGGGATTCGAACCCTAGCAATAAAAATCCGACGTATCATACAGATTTGAGACTAACGCGCTAACCACTATGCTACATGGCTCATGATGATTTAAATCATGTTTGTGATATGACCCTTGACTTAATGGACATGAAGTATTTCTCGGAAAGATACGAATGCTTTGTCATAAAAGTGTACTTTTAAGTTATAGTGGGTCTTCGCTCCATGTTTTTGTAAACCAAAGAATGTATATTTTATTGCAAACTTTTAGGATTACCTTTCATAATCAAAGTACTGAAAGTACTGATAGACGGAGGCTTGGAATGAACATGATTTGTTGTCTCTTTGGGAATTTTTTATTCATATTTTGACCCCAACATTTGCCTAAAGGTAGTTGGCCATATCTTTTGAACATTAGATACCAGGACATTTATACTTCATATTTGTATTTTTGTGGAAAGACCTTTCATTAGATATTAACAAGCTTGACCTTTTGACCTTGACCTACGAGATTCCATACTTATGAAGAAACTTTAACCTTGGCCATAAGTTTTGAATGGTAAGGGATAAATAGTGCTTTTTATACGTACATATGTAATCCTTGTAAGAAGACCCAGAACTTTGACCTTTTGACCTTGGAGTTTGACCTACTTTTATAAAGCAAATCTTGACCATAACTTGAAAAGGTTTTGGGTTAGTGCTTTCATACTTTATATATTTAATCCTTATGACAAGACCTTTCATTTTATAGCAAGACATTTGACTTTGGAGTTTGGCCTACTTTAAAAAAAATATCATTTTTCATAACTTTTGAAGGGTTAGGGCTTCATACTTCACATATGTATTCTTTGTGGGAAGACCTTTCATAACATACCAACAATCATGACCTTTTGACCTTTACCTTGGAGATTTCCGTACTTATGGATTAACTTTAGCCTTAGCCTACTTTCATATTTCACAATTGTATTTCCAGTAAGAATACCATACTTTTGGTACCAATATATTAAATTTGCATCTTCGCTATATTGCCACACGGGGGGCCAGAGTGTTTCACAAATACATCTTCTTCATTTATTTATCGTGGTCTAATGTTTAATTATGTAATTTACTGAATTCCCATTTTTCATCAAAAGGACAAACCACTCTAATTGCAATAAACTATATTAATTTGAATTCTTTAGTGACTCATGGTAAGAGCTTCCTGAAATGTGAGAAAACCAAAAGTACTTTAGTATATCTAACTCTTCAGGACTAAAAGGAGCTGAGATACAAGCATTCAGATATATCAATGCATAGATGTAAACATGCACATTCAACTTTTGATTAACAATTCTGTTGTGTTGGGTAATGAACATGAAGAGGATGCAAATATTTCAAACATTATGAAAAATATTAAGCAGAACAAACGCCTGTTTGGTCCAGATCATAAAATGTTCTAAGCTCTATAGCTTTTATTTTCCAGTGTGCATTAATCCTGACTTCCAAATTCTTACTTGACTGGTGATACCTTAAGAAAACATTTGCATCCAGGTGAAAGTTGACACGTATCGCAAAATGTGCCATCCCATTGTTTAAGTTTAATAAAGTGATTACAACGCCTTAATACTAGATCTCATGGATTCAACGATACCCTAATATCCAGTATTATATGTGATTTTACGGATAATACCCAATTTCGTGGAAAATCCTTCCCGTTTCAGAGGTGGATCCAGCCATTTTTGAAAGGGGAGTTCTAGGGTTGTACTGTATACTCTATATTCTTTCATTTAAAAGGGAATAGTGAGTGGAAGAAACTTAATGTGTGAGAATCTATCTATTTAATACATAAGTTAGACGTACAAATACATGTATTTTAATTTATTCTCGGAAAATATTTTTTCTCTCTCTTTCTCTCTCTCTCCACTTGACAAAAAATAAAGGGGGCTTCCAACCCCGGAACCTACCCTCCTTTGGATCCACCAATGAACCGCTTACAAGCATTCACCCATCTTTGACACTTTAATTTTCAATATCTCTCCAAAGTTTGGGAAACCTAATAAGTTTAACTCCTTGCATATATTTTTTGTGGGCATACTTTGAGTCACTATTGCAGATTCCATGACAACAGTGTTTTAATGCATCCTTTTTTTGCACAGATTAGCCATAATATTACTTAATTAATTTACACCACAAAGTAAGATTCAAGCCACTGTTTTGGTCATGTAAACATAGAAACATGTGGGTCAGTTTGTCCCATCTAAATAGTTTGCAAAATCTTCTGAAATATGTGATAAGGAATTCTAAAAATAGATGCAGCAGAGATTCTGTACCTGTGCTATAAACAGATAAGACGCAGCTCTCTGCTGAGTCAGTGAGTGAACATTTAAAATATGTCAGTTTCAATGATTTCTTTTACCTAGGTAATGTAGGGTATTAATGTGATAGGACCTTCGCAAACTAATTTAAAAGCCCTCAGGCGAGGTCAGATAATTATAGGTTCATGAGGAAAAAAAAAGAATTATGTATTGTTTTTGGAAAATATTGTGACCGAATTAGATTAATTGCATCAAAATCAGATGCAGAGAACTGCACTCGGTGATCTGTTTTGGTTTCCCCGACAATTTAAATTCTGTGTCAGCGAGAGTTTTTATCAGCCAATGAGCGTGTCAGCAGCAGACTCTATACATCACTGATCACCTGTCTGTATACAGCGCATATCTGATATCAGACAGGCAGGCCAGTTTATCAAAATTTAGCCTGGTTCCCTGTCCCTGTTTTGCTTCGTGTACCCCTGCCTTGGAAAGTATGAGCCTGGGGACAAGGCTAATCAAAGTTAACGTGATTTGCCGCTAGATGGCGATCGCAAATTCTCTTCCGCCTCAGATGAGCGGTACCAATAGAGCGGAGGCTACGCCTCCGTCTAAAAATGGAGCGAAGACCCATTGAAAAATGTTGTTAAAGTTTGAGAAAATGATCGTTTTTGTTCTTTTTAGTGTGTGTATGCTTTTTCATAGAAAAATTTTTTCAGTCTTTGTGAGATTTTTTGTAAATTGTAGAGATTTTACATTAAGTATACTTTAATATTAGATGAAATATCAAATAAAATTTGGGTATAAATGAGATTAAATTTTCCACTTCTTATCTGTCACACTATAGGCACTTCGTCCATCTTATCCCCCATCTTCTTTTTAAACACATTTCCAGAATACATAAAAAAAAGTTAATTGCTTAATTAAAAGAAAGTTTTGAGTCGGTCATTTATAGCCGGTCGGTCGGGACAGGGCAACCACAAAATTTTTTAAAGATGGCCTAATAACCAAAATATCAAACGACATTTATATGATTTACTTACAAGCGGATGTTTGTGGGTTTTTTTTTTTTTAAATGTCAATCTCCGGGAAATGCCGCATTCGGTCAACAGCTTGTTAATCATTTATGTCAAGGACAATTTAAAGAAAATAAGTTTATTATATTTCAGTAAAGGGAAACCGAGTTTAAGAAAGGAATTTGGGAGTGTATTACTTAGGAATGGGGGAGGGAAAGAGGGTATCGAACAAGTATCCTTTAAATTGGAAAAAAAATATGTACTTTTAATCAATTACTGAAATGTGGCTATTATTCGCATTTATGGAAAATGTGCTCTATGATATTCCAAATCTCAGTAACCTTTCTGCATTAAATCTTAAAGATTCACACAACTTTTCAACCCTTTATGGGACATAACTGTGTAATTTGAATGAAAAATAAAATTAATACTTTTAAATTTATTCATAACAGATATAACTTTACAAATATAAGTTGTTTTCAATTGCAAATTTTTTAAAAGCAAATTAATTGTATCATCTCTTCTTTAATTTTAAACTTTTAGAAAAGTTTTTTTTACATAAAAATAAATCTATAAATTATGTCCTATTTTGTATTTCAAATTGTTCTTCATTTCTCCTAGTAACTTGGGACTACAATTCTACAAGTCCAAGCTTCAACACAAATCCCGCTGCTTTTTCACAACTCCCATTAAGAGAATCCGACGCCATTTTAGAGGGATTCACAATGCTGACTGACTGTACAGGTAATTCAATCAATTTAATTTTAATTACTTTATTCTTTGAATTTAGAGTCAAAGTAATGAGAATATTGTTAGCATGCATTGAATTTTTATTGTGAAAAAGCAATTAAGAAAAATTGCAATATATATAGGACCTAAATTTATATACATGTAATTTATATGCATGTATAACCTTACCCCCCCCCCCCCCTTCACAAAAAATGGTAGCACCACAGAAAATCAGAAGAGAGAAAAAAAGATTCTCTCAAACAGAGTCGTCATTTAAAAAACCTTGAATTCATTATCAATCAAACTAAACATATGCCTCATAAACAATGCAAACAATATAGAGATAACATGCAACAGAACTGAGATTAAAAGTTAACCTGTTTGATTAACTGTGTCGATAGGAATTTAACGGCATTTCAATCAACATTTATTGATTGATTTATTGTGACATTTCCTGCTTACAAAACGATTCATCAGATGACGAATTTGTAAACACCCATCATTTGATTCATTACGCGGTAAACACTCATTGATGAAAGAAAAGAATGTAATTACTTTATACAGTTAATCCTCGTTATCTCGAACTCAACTGGACCAAAAAACTTCCAATCTAGCTGATTAAAATCAGACTTCTTAGATCCGTGCCGTACACTTCTTACGCAGAGTGTACACGGCGCGGATCTAAGAAGTCTGATTTTAATTAGATTGAATAAACGTCCAGATATTCAAGTATTCAAGATTTTCAGGGTAAAATTACTGATAGATTAAGAATTCTATATCACTTTTAAATCGATAAATCTAAAGTATCCGAGAAATCAGTGTTCGATATACACTGAAGGTATACACTCTAAAGGTCGAGGTAGATTTGTGAAATATTTTGCTGTAAAATCTAAAAACGATATACCAAGTTTAGATACACTCCACTAAATTTAATTAAAATTAAGCTCCTCAATGAACATATTTTGTAAATTTCAGGATCAGTCAACTTTATTGGTAAGCGCTATTGGAGAAACAACGACCCAGCTGTTATACTTATTTACGATTCCCAGGGCCTTATCGCGGGACTTCAAACAGGGGTAAGGGTAGATGCAACAATGTAGCCCTCCCCCTTTTTGGTCAGATTTTTTTAAAAAATTGGAGAGGGCTACATTATTGCAACTACGGTAAGGGTTAAATACAAGAAACAGATCCTTCAGATGTTGAACACTATACAGCATTAAAGAATCGTGTTAATCGTGTATTTATAGTTTCTTTGAAACTGCTTGAAGAAAACATAAGAATTGAGGTCATGGTCACTGATACAGAAGGACAAGGTCATAAAAATATGATGCCGTTGGAATAATTGTTCTCAGATATATTTTTAAATTTTCATGTTTGCAGATCCCAGATAATCTGTCCAATGGCTATCCGACGAGAAATCTGAAACCCCGCCCTTTTGTCCAGGAAGGAAATTTACTCTTCGTTACAGCGTACTTCATGGAACCTTGTAAGATTCTGTAATGTTTTTTAAAAAGTATGCCAAAATTTTACAATTTTGAAAAAAAAAATTATCAGATATTATATTTTTAACTTGAATAAAAGACAATATTTAAATAAATAAAATGAATGTTAAAAGACATACAAGTGAATATGTGAACTACCTTACATATTAAACGAAATGGACATACTTTGACAGTTGTGTACAAGTATTGTACTTTTTGCTACAGCTAAAATATGTGCCTCTACGAGAACCGAGACACAGCTGGTTTCTGAGGGGATAGGAACAGGACTGTATTTCCAGAATGGACCCGATCCCATGTCTGATTCCGTGCCTGTACCGACAGACGAAACTACCATTCAGGAGACCCTCTGGGGCCAGGGACAGTGTTTGCCCAGATTAGGTAGGTCATATCCTCCAACTAGGGGTAGGGAAGGGGAGTGGGCTTATTCCGTAAATCATAACGCTGTGGAATCTACTTTTTAAAAGGAATATTTAAAATTGACAAATTTTTAAATGGTTTTCTATGAATGCATAGAACTGTGATAAATTTAGCTATGAAGTATTCAATTTTATTTTGTTTTTTCTCAATGATGAAAGTACAAAGATGCTAGTAAATGATGCTCTATTTGATGTTGACTAGGTAACCAGTATCATTTCAATGTGCGACGAGATATGTACTGTGAGGAAATGGCGCCGTTTTACTTGATGTACGACAGGGGTAAACTGGTGGCCTTTGCTTGGTTCTTTGTGTCTGACATTCAGTCACCCGTATTTGAGAAAATCCCACCAACGATGTATTCAGTAAGATACTTATATAATACTACAGTTGAACTTCGGTATCTCGAAACATCAATATCTGGAATTACATGGATATGTCAAAGTGATTTGGAGGTCCCAAACACTTATTCTCTCAGTATTTTACCCTGATATCTTGAATTATCAGATATCTTGAAGTTTTTCCTTGGTCCCATTGAGTTCGAGATAACGAAATTTGACTGTATATACACAATGACAAAAGTTTATTATAATTCATTATGCATTACCGTCAGTTTATGACCTAACATCAATCTGCACACCACTATATGCCTTTTTCGATCGAGTTGAGAATTTCTCAACTCAATACAAAAAGAATGATTGAGAAATGTTCCGACTGTCTATTACATGTTACTGATGTAATATGTTAATGACACATTATAAACTCTACAATCTATGACATACTAGTATGTTAATGGCATATCATTGCACAAACAATTTTTCAAGTATTTTATTCGTCTATTTCAAGAATTATTGTTGTCTTAATTCTTAAAGCGCTATCATATGGATTGATAGATATAATAATATGTGGAGGTACTAATCTAATTTTTCTTTTATTTTTCAGAAAATGTTCCAGACAGTACCGGAATGTTTATACAACATGGGCCAAGTGACCACACTTCACGTATTCCTGACAAACCAATACAACGAAATAAGTTGTTGAGCAACTGGAATAAAACAATTATATATTTAAACCTTTGGATGTTACTTTGAAGGAAGACAGTAAACATGTACCATGTACAGGCATATTAATAAAAAATTTCGGATAAAAAGTATTATATTTTCAGTTCACCTGAAATGTATCGAAGTTACAATTTAAGATTATCTTGTGAAACAACCCTACATGTTCAAGTACCACTATAGATTGTTTTCCTATGACGTATTTTGCCTTGGGTTATTCCCCTTGGCCACTATCTTGAAGTCAAGGTAGTGAATTTTTCTCTTTGAGCAACTACATGTTGTTTTAAACATGCATGCCCGAAATATATGGGGAAAATATTTACAATCTTGAAATTATGAATTAAAACAGACTTTAACAAATGTATATTCAATTTAATAAGAAAAACAGTGTTATCTTTACCTCAGTACTCAGTATGACAAATTGAACTTGACTGATTAATAAAGGGATCAGGGAATGTTGACCTACAATATGACGGCCATATAATTTTATAGAATAACTTATTTGGGGGAGCGAGGAGAGGGGTGTTCTGCACGATGAAGTGAGTTAGAACCACCCCTACCCCCACCCCCCCCCCTTCAGCAGGTTGGATCTAGTGTAATGGGAAGATTTCCTGGGTGGAATGTGATAAAACAAATGAAGCATAAGAACAAAAACAGCATCATGCTATGTCACGTTTGACTTCCTTTTATCTAAATGTAAATATATTGCACAGCCAATTCCACTGTGTTCCACAAAACTTTCAACTTTAAATGTTCAACATTTCATGTCAAAACAACTCAAAAACTTCATTTTTCAAATTGCTAGCACTAAAATTCCATTTAAGCTGACTGTAATTTGTGGTATTCCAACAAATCTTGATTCTCTTCCACAAAGTTCTTGGACTCTAACTTGAGTGCCTCTAGTCTCTGTTCGATTTCCTCTCTGGACCTAATCTTACTGTCACGTCCCCGAGATCCATTTTCTCTGGACCCCTTGGGCCCGGGTGGAGGTTGTGCCACGTGCAGGAATTCGTTTTTCACCAAATCACAGCCATCTTCCAAAAGTTGAATAGCAATCTTGGCTATGTTCCTTGAATCATGGAGTCCACAATGTTGTGTGCCTTCAAACTTCAGTCCTAGATTTATCAACATTTCTTCCAGATTCATACGTTTACATGAGTAGTGACTTGAATACACTTTACGAATGTTTATCCATTTTTTCCCCCAGTGCGGGAATGGTATCTTGCTCAAGTTACACTGCATTTGAAGAAAGCGACTCATATCCCATGGTCTGTTAAAAAATAAGTAATTGACCTCATAATTCCATTTATAGTAACTTTATAAGGAACAATTAATTTCAAAGACTAAAATTTGAATCATATGACCTGTAATGAAAAAGTTGACAGTCATGTCTTCCTTTATTTTTTGCTTTGAAATGGCATATGCTTTACCGATCTAGCCTTTTAAAGTCTACATTACATTAAATTTAAACCAGAAAAATACATTCATTGACTTCATATTCATGTAGTACATGTATGTAAAGTAAATACATGTAGTACAACCTGTCCAATACATCAATTCATCTGTGGGTTAAAAATTAGACCAGTTTTAATGTAACAGAATATATGGATGAATGAGGTGAAATTCATTTACATGTAGCATGATGGTAAAAGAACTGTTACACAAAATAACTGACTGAAATCCTGGATCCACTACTGCATTTCTATACAAACTCAAATCAAATCCAAGAGGAGATTCTTTATCCATGCACATCTCTGATCCACAAACAATATAGTTGCTATGGTAACTTACCCATCAGTAACTATGGCAAATGTATGATGTATTCCTAAGTGATGACTAGTCATCCATGACTGCATTCTGTCAAGGACAGCTGGAAATTCATCTGATTTATCCACAAGTCCCTGGAAATAGAAAATAAATTCAGTGAGGTGAGCCATAACCTTTATGGCATAGACCATAATAAGGATATTATCTTTCTGTGGTACATGTACATTTTTCTTCCTCTTGATTATGATGTTAAGACAAATTGGCTAATTATTTAATTTAATTAAAATTATTTTATACCATTTGCAGCATGTAAAAAGAAAAATATTTTCCTTCAAATTTTCTTAGAAAAGAACCTTGAAAATCACTCATTGGATCACTCACTCAGCCACCCATTAACCTTAACCCAAAAGAGATTGCTATAATTGTATCCCCTCAGAGTTCATTATGAAGGATAAAAAATCTTTTTGGTTTGCTTATGAACCATGTCAAACTTTTGCTTTTGTGCCAAAAAATATTTTTGAATTGACTGATGATATTTCGGTCTGCTTGCACATAATTACAAAGAATTTCCTAAAGAAGCTTCAACAATAACAAACTGTTTCTGAAAGACCTATTTAACCAAATACTTTAATAAGTTTTGAAATAATTCACAATTCACTCTAAACTTGCACATTATTTGAACTGAAAAAAAAGCAAAAGACATTAACTGTATCAGTGCCATAGTATCATTTTTGAACCCCCACCCCTCCCCCCAAAAATAAACAACACTCAAATGCCTTCTAACAAACCTGTGAAATTCCAGTAAGACTACTGCAGAATTCTGTTAGTCGTGGGTTAAGAACAGGTTTACAGTATTCATGAAATTCATCAACCTTTAAAATAAAAAGAAAAAAGGAATTAATGTTGACATTTGCAATCATATGCATAATAGCAAATCAAAATCACCTGCTACAAAGCTAAAATCTTCATTTCTTGTTCCTAAGAACAACTACATGTACTGTTAACCAACTTTTTCCATGTGTGAGAAATTTTTGTGAGTTTTGTGAGAGCCTTGTCATCAAGAAAATTTCTCGCCGCAAACAGGTACTTAAAGTCTCTATATTCTTATTAATAGACTGATCCAAAAAAGGCTTGATAGTGAATATTAATCTTCGCAAACTAGTTAAACCCCCCCCCCCCCAACCAAAAATAAGTCGTGGCAAATAAAAGTTGGTTCACAGTATAATAATATCCCATTGTCTTTTAGGTCATATGGTCTGGGTTGTACTGTCTCATAGTTGCTGTAAAATTGTAAATCACTTTTTATTTGTGAGATCTTTATTTTTAAGTGAGACAGTGTGCTCACAAACATTTTGCTTGCCTATGAACATTTGCCCCTAATTCAACAGTATGCCCTTACTATTTCTCTGGTGTGGCAGTCTACTAAAACTGCTGGGAATTCAATTATCTCATGGGTGTAATTGTAGTTGTTCTCTTGGCATGTAGCTTCGAAGTCGATGACAATTACATAATCATATGTACATTCCACTGGAGGCTTAATTTTAGCTTTCATCAATTTCCTCTGCTTGAAATGCATTTTCAGTCTTTTTTGTAATATGTCTTTGGAACCTCTAAAATAAAGACCACATTGTCAATTAAGTCCAAGGTTAATTAATATAATAACATAGACAACATTTCAGTAAAATAAGGACAAGCTACGAATATGCAGCATTGTCAGTAAGAATTGAAAGAGAGGAAGAAAGGAAAAGAATAGGAGAATCTGGATTAGACCTTCCACCATGTTACACGCACAACATGTACAAAGAAATTAATCATGCTAAATTTAATCTTGCTAACTTTAGATATTTCTTCCCTTTTAGAGTGTCCTCATTTCCAGTACTAAGCCAAATCAATGATAAATTGTACAATGCTCAGTTAACCTTAGACTTTCAGTAAGGAGTGCCATTTTCGGCACTATGTAATTAGTGTCTGTCAATGGCATAGATTCTCATTGGTTAAGAAATGAATAACATCTGGAACTTCAAATTGTTGTTGACAATGATGCAATGACTTTTAAAAGCCCAACCGCTTTGCCATAAGACATATTGTTATTCCATATTCGATACACTCATTGACATTTGCACAAACTTGTCCTGCCAGTGTGTATATTTCAACAGTGAATGATAGCTGTGTAAATTTCAGATGTTAATTAATAATTATGTAACTTCGAGAATGTACTATTTCCCTTTTCATGACATTTTTTATGGCTTCATAAAATTTTGATTGGGTGGGGCTACAGCTTTCATATTTCACAGGTGTATTCTTAGTGACAAGGCCTTGCTTACAGTACCACCAAATTGAACCTTTTGACCTTGACCTTTGGATTTGACCCACCTTGGCCATTACTTCTGAACAGTTAGCAGGTTAGTGCTAGGGCTTTCATACTTCATTGTGACTAGACGTTTATAAAAATTTGGACCTTTCAACCCTGACCTTAGAGTTTGGCCCTTTTTTAAAAACTGTAAAGTTGGCCATAACTTTGGAACAGTTCCCAGTACTAGGGCTTTAATATTTCACAGATGTATTCCTTGTGAGACATGTGAGAAGACCTTCACACAATTTTGACCTTGACGTTTGACTTCCTTAAAGAAACTTTGAACAACCCTCAATGTAAACTCCATGCTTAGGCATCAGAATATCACATACACATCTTGTTTTGATATCTGCAGATTGCTTTAAATAACAAACACTCATAGTCTGATGATTTTTTTTTTTACAATGACTGCTTTCTAAACTGACACAATGAAAAATAACATATATACCTTGCATCAAGTTTTAATTCAGCTAACTTGTCCTGTAGTTCCTTCACCGACATGCGATTAATCTCTCCATTTATTGCTGATAACTTTTTGTACACAGGGTCTACTTCTCCTCCCTCATCCCTCTTTGCTTTCAATCTATGAATTTTCTTATGAGTTTCTCCACCCTGTATTTTGAAATGAGAAAATCATTATTCATTAATTTGTGGATTAAACTTAGAAATTATTTATAATTTAATGATGATTGACTAGTTCAAGTTATCAAAATTCAACAGACTTCTTTAGATACAAGGAGTATACCCTCTGCAAAAACAATTATTTAATTCCCTTTCTATTGTCGGCTAAGTTGCATTTGCCATATAAAACACACAGTATACAAAAATATCCTCCCTAACCAGCACTGTAATTGGAAAACATTTATGGTCATGGAAGTGATGATTTCTAACTATGTGAAGAGCAGAAGCATATCCCTGAATTGCACTGAAAGTCTGGAGAGACTTGAGATTTTAAAAG